GTTTAGGTCTTTTATTTATCGGTTGAGGCACTACGAAGTTTGCCGGGTCAGCTAGTTTATAATATAATAAGAGCCATACTTCATGATCAACAATAGTTACTATTGTTGATCGAAGCCATATGAAAGCCTCAGAGAAATGTCGACGTAAACAGGGAAAGGGAAAAACGACCGAGAAGAAGTGATTCATTTGTTTTGGCCGTCGTCCGTGGGTAGATACGTCTAAGTACTTTTTTGAAAAAAATTCTACCCGCGTGGGATTTCAAATTTGTTTTAATCGCATCGATTGATACTAGTCCAAGTTTGATTCGTATTCATTGTATCCATCGATGCCAATAATTATATTCCACGTACAAATGTACTAGACTAGTGACGTTCGAAGTTTTATGAGTTATTTCTGAGCTAGGATTGTAAACATATTGATCCGGATTCCAGAGATGCATTCGCAAGGCGCCTCGCCCTCCCCGCAAATTGTTTGTGCTGTACTTATAACCACAAAGTGCTTTTTGGATGGAAAATTACTAATATTAGACTGACTCGGTGGTGCAGTGGTTAACGCCCTTGACTGTTGCAGCAAGGGTCGTGGGTTCGATTCCCACATCAGGAAAACATTCGTGCGATGAACAGGTTTCTTTTCTTTGGGTGTTTAGTATCTATATATATAATATAATCGTGTAAGGTACTATGGTGCTTTATTTTCTTTGTTGTTTCGTTGTAGGCTGCCCACAGGTTTTTTGTTACTATATATGCTTATGTATATTTTATATTCAGGTTCATCTTTTTATTTGTTTTTTTTTTTATTTTTTTATTGTAGCTTTAAGTCTGTACCCACATTCTGCGGTAGAGGACTATGTGAAACTTATCATTTAAAGTTTTGGTAATTTTAGTTCGAAACGGACGTGGTACCTGCCACTGGCCATGATTATTTGAAGAAGAAGATAAGTTATTTGAAGACCTCTTTTAATACCTGATCTGAAAACGAGTCTGAATTTTGAAGCCCCTAAGGCAAAACAAGATCAAATTCAAGAACATCATCTTACTGTTCTGATCTGAGAGAATATTATTTTATGCCCGTGTAGGCAGACGAGCATAGCGCTAACCTGATGGTGAGCGGTAACCGGTGCTCATGCACATCAGCGATGGCAGGATCTCCGCCAAGCCGCTGCCTACCGCCGAGTGCTTTTCGCAATCTCGTTTGAAGAAAACTATGACATATCTGGTTTTTAAGGGATTTTATGTCCAGCTAACTAAGACCTTTAGTTCATGTCTTATTTTAATTTATATTCTTAATTTTATGAAAAATTATATAATGAAGTGAAATGAAGATGACTAATTTGAGACAATAACGCAATGACAGCTGCACATGTGACTCTGAAACACAAACCACCCTGCGATACATCTCTAAACTTTCTTAGCACTGTGTATTGTTTTGTATCGATACCTCTTAACCTGTTAACACGTAGATATTTTTGCACGTCTTCTCATCACGGTTAGCGCCTATCAAAAACCAGATGTCTATTAAATCCGCCATCAATACGGATTGAGTGAGTTCCGTACGTCTCTCGTCTATTTCGGTTTTATATAACTGGTTTTTCGTTTCACCCGCCCACCTGCTTGCTGGTTTAGGAATGTAATCCTCTTTACGGCGCGAGTACAATATACTGTACTAGCGGCAGTAGCGGCCCGCTCCGGCCCCGCTCGGGTCTTTAACAAAAATTTCAACGACATTTGACGTTGTTTTATTTTTTAAAATAAAAGAACACTTATTGCGGCATAACTATAACATATGTTGTCGCGCCACTTTTTGTAAATAATAATGTGTTCTACAAAGTCGTAGTACATTATTTTATTCTATCTTCAATAGTTTTCGCAGCCCACGCGATGTAAAGAATATTTTAGGTAATTTTTATACAGTTTGGGTTACATTATTGGAGTTTAGTAAGGATCCATAATTTAAAAAAAAAAAGTTTATAGCCTATGTCACTCGGGAATAGTGTAGCTTCCAAACAGTGAAAGAATTTTTCAAATCGGTTCGGTAGTTTCGGAACCTATTCAATACAAAGAAACAAACAAATCTTTCCTCTTTATAATATTAGTATAGATTAATATTTAAATAACTTCAATTGAATAATCATTTTATTAATATTTCTTCTCATTACAAAATCCGATTTATTTTTTCATATTATGAAGTACTTTGACAAGCTAATCTGTCCTCGTCGTTCCGTGGAACCACGAAAGCTTTAAAGTATTCGAAACGCCCGCACTTGTAAGTGAAATAAGCACGACATTATATTGTACTTTTTAAGGTACGTTTTCGTTAAAAGCTCATGTCTCAAGGTGAGTGGCGACATTCATGAAAACAACAAAAAAATCGGAGTTGATTTCTTTTGGTCGTATCTGTTGGCTTACTTATCATTTATTCGTTGGTTTTCAGGGTAGGTTGATCTTTCAAGGTTTTTGGGGTAGTGAAATGGAGGAAGGATCGATGGAACCGCACGGGTAGTTATTATCCTGTCTATTTCTGCCGCGAAACAGTCATCTTTTCCAGTGTTAAGCTTAGGAATGTTTTCATACAATGTAACTGTGGCTTTGACCTTTGAGGGTGGATTGCGTTAATCACGTTTGTGATGTACATATGTGGGCCCCGTTAACCAATTTAACTAAAGTATACCCAGAGCTGGTCAATTCAAAGAGCGCCCTAACAAAAACAAGAGCATAATCCCCTAACGCTAAATGACTTTTTTTTTCTTTCGTAAAAATAACTCCCTTAAGTTAATAAGCCTATGAACACTTCAATCTAAGTTAAAAATAATAAACTAGATGGCGTTGATGACTTTATTTATCATATTATCTTGAAGTCGTCGTGGCTTAAAGGATAGGACGTCCGGTGCATTCGTTGTTGCGATGCACCGATGTTCGAATCCCGCAGGCGGGTACCAATTTTTCTAATGAAATACGTACTTAACAAATGTTCACGATTGACTTCCACGGTGAAGTAATAACATCGTGTAATAAAAGTCAAACCCGCAAAATTATAATTTGCGTAATCAGTGGTGGTAGGACCTCTTCTGAGTCCGCACGGGAGGTACCACCGCCCTGCCTATTTCTGTCATGAAGCAGTAATGCGTTTCGGTTTGAAGGGTTGGGGTAGCCGTTGTAACTATACTTGAGACCTTAGAACTTATATCTCAAGGTGGGTGGCGCATTTGCGTTGTAGATGTCTATGGGCTCCAGTAACCACTTAACTCCAGGTAGGCTGTGAGCTCGTCCACACATCTAAGCAATAAAAAAAAAATACATAATAATATTACCCAACATTAATCTGGTTTTTTTTTAATTGTAGTATCGAAGCGCTTTTGTGTCTCATTGTACACGAAATTTCTAATGTCATTGCTGAACCAATTTTAGTATTGAACTTTGTGGTCGATATGATTTTCAATTATGCATTTACATCTACAAACATTTTAGACAAAGCATTGATACTTTAATATGTTCATGATTCCAATCTAGAGGTATGCTCCTTATTTTTTCAGAAGATATTTCTACTTCCTATGTATCCTTATTATATTATACTTTTTTAGCGTTATTTCCAAGAGGGAATCGAAATCAGGAAAATGACAAATAAATGTATTTGAATATTATTTTTTTATTGCCCGTGCAGGCAGACGCGCATACGGCTCACCTGATGGTAAATGGTTACCGTCGCTAGCTGGACGTCAGCAATGCCAGGGGCAGAGCCAAGCCGCTGCTTACCGCTAAATTAGCGAATATACTAGATAAGTGAAAGTTCTAGTAATTCATAACTCGACAATGTAAAGAATTTGCGATATAAAACTATTCCTTACTAATGCACAGCGCGCACTGTAAAACAATTCCAATAGAGATGTGGGTGTGGGGAGTTACAAAGTTCACATCTTTAATAGAGACACTGTTACTCATGTGCCTCCTCTTTAAATTACGCTTAGCTCAACAAATGAATAGTTTGAATTCGAGTTTGCTATTTTAAACCTTTAGCTTTTAAAAAAAAAAACTTTATTTAGAACACGCCTAAAAGGCAATTAATAATTATCGTTATAGAGTAGATTAAAAAATATGAATATCCATTTCAGTCTGTACATAGATAGGTATTAGGTAATATTAGTTGAACATTCAACAAAACCACACGTCTGTAATCTTATAATTAGTTTACATTACCCGTTTCTCGGTTTCTAATTGCGATTTTACAACGTAAACAAATATTTCAGAGCTGTATTTCTAGGAAGCGTTGTTGGTTCTAATTGTTTTTTTCACGGACTTTTTACTTACTTAACTCGTTTTGACTTTGAATCAAACGATCGAGGGAAATAATAGCATGCTCAGGTTCAATACTAGGTTAATTGAGATAATATATATTAACCAGATACGTGGTGCTAATAATTTGAGGAATTTAGTTTGACACGTCTCAAGATACGGTAAGTATACTGAAATCTAATCGGACACCACATATTGAAACAAAGGCTCAAAGCCCGCCTGTTATTATACTCTCGGAAAAAGTTAAGCCGGTGTTTTGAGTTAGCCGTTTATACATACACTGCAACATTCCTTTTGATTTTGCTGCAAAATTAGTATTATTGGTCTATTCAGAAACCAAATTCATAAGTAGAAACAGGTGGAGTTACGCAGCTTAAACAATTGCCTGTGACTGAAATTCGATTATAAAGTAAATAAATTTACAGAGTTATGTGTCATTATTTTATAGCACTCTCCGTATAAAATCTATTGAACGTTTCACGAGTTTGATATTACTGTAAATATGTATTATAAATATCATAAACTTTAACGTTCAACAATCACATTCTTTAATACAAACAAAAATATAAGAACTACATACATCGCTGTGCAATTACCGATTAAATTGCTTTTAGTTGGGGCTAGGGACGTTGCTGTAAAATTACGAACAGTTATGCAGAAAAACGATTTGTTTACGTTCTGCTTTGGTTACTTATATGGTATTCCAGTCGAACCTGAGTGAACAACTTGTTGTATCCGTGCGCTTGGCTGTAGCTCATCATGTTACGACATGACGACGGCTGGTGGCCGCTGCGGACCACCAGCGGAATCGCGTCCTGCTCGGCCGTGGTGCTCACGGACACGCGGCACGGACGGCGGCCGCGGGCGAACTGAGCCGACGCGGTCCGAGCGTTCGCCTTTACGTCGGGGTTGTCAGCACTTGTTGTTTAAAAACCAGGATTACGGTCAAGACGAGAAACGAAATTGTTTATTTATATTATTAGAACTGTTTTTAGTATTTTTCAGGAAAAATATATCACCGGACTACAGTTCAGTCGTAAAGCAAAAAGACCAGACTCTTTTTATAACTACTAAATTAAACAGTGAAGAATAGTGGTGTAATAATTGTCGACCTCTAGTGCTAGTCTATTTGATTTCTTTTTCAAACAATTTCAGTTTTATTTATTTATTTATTTTAAAGGTATTTTGTAAGGTTTGTGACTTTGATATCAAACTGCAATCAATCATTTTACTGTGCTATGATCACCATGTGGAACCTTTCACTACCCTTTAACGAATTTTTTGTGTCGCTTTTTGGAATGGAAACTTATATTAAATTCAAAAGCTACACTAAAATAAGAAAAACACATAAATTGTAGCATTCAGGTGAAAACATGTGATGGAGTAGGTACTTCTGAAGGTTTAAATTCTACTGCTTATGAATTACATAGGTGTTTTTCTAGTATAATCGCAATTACAAAGGTTTGTAATAATGAAAAAGTATTCTGAGACTTTATTAAGTAATTAGTTCTTAATAACAAATAATAAATTAATGAATATTTAAAAATCTGAGCAAAAACTTCAAGTCATACACATCAAAAACAAATAGATATAAATATGTAGATTCTTGATAAATATTATATTTAGTAACCCTAATAGAACAAAACTTGGTGAATGAGTGCGCGCGCATCTGTTCCTTGTACATCCGTCCGCCACTGTTTACGTTCAGCTATGACCATAACCGAACGTTATATAGCCGAAACATGTACCGCCAGCTGTACTTTGTATTTGTCGAACGTGTTATATGACAAATTGAGGAGGGTACCTTCAATGTAGGGAGCGTAAGCGCTTTGAAGGGTCCCTTTTGCGGTGTCGAAGATTAGCGATTAACGTAAGTAGGTCGGAGAGATAAGGATTCAGGGAGCGTCGACGGTACCAAAGGTCGGATGATGGAATTGAATGAACACGTTCTGTAGGGGTCGACGAACTTTAGACAGGCTGTTTGATATTTCGGCGCTCAATTCTGACGGTTTTTCTTTGTATCTTTGTCTGAGTTAATAGTGCTGGAATGTGTTTTAGTGGGTACCTACTATTCATATAAAGCTCAAAGACGGCGATTCGACTTTTTTCAATGGCTACGTCACGAAGGGGTAGGTAGCCAAAATTATTAATGCAGTGGTGTTTAGTGGTTACCATTGCCTATAGTTATAGTCATCAATAACCTCATGAGCCCTAAGTCTTAGTTTTTTAAGACAAAAGCCACAAGTACGTCAAACGATTTTCCTAGAAACTGCCTCGAACGTTTCCATAGACAAATAAATGGTGTTTTTCCTATATTGGCGCGTTAATGGGCGCCACGAGACCATTATGGGTGTCCCGTTGCCATTGACAGCGACATGACGATCTTATGGCGTAAGCATGATCTCACATCGCCTTTTTGCGGTAATGTTCTCGACTATTACGTATATTGTCTAGTTGATTGTGCGGATCACAAGTGTGACAAGAAGCATCGTCCCGATCTGGGCAGTAAGTACATTATCTAGTGTAGTGCAATGTAACAATAAGTACATATAGACAAGGGAGTCGAAAATTGACACCCAGGCCTAAACAATTGAATAATAGTTTTTGCTATGTGGATAACTAATATTTGCCTTAGAGCACGCGTATCGGATACTATTGAGTAATTGAAGATTAAATGCATGCATTCTGTACCTACAAACAATAGATAATTAAAATAGGGCGAAAGAAATATTGTCTTCAGAAACAATATTTACAATTAATTAAAACTAAAACAGGCATGCGATGCACTTAATAAATATATTATTAGAATGTATTACAAATACATATCTTAACAGCTCTTTAATGAAACTGTGACACCACAATTCAAGCTATTCACAAACAACAAAATCTCACTATTATTAAAGTCTGGACGAATGAGCAACTGGAATGTGTATTAAAGATGGCCGCAAATTCATACACTCACACACTGTTATACTGCAGGCTTATACGTTTGTACAATTACATTGTATAGAACCTATTCTTTGGGGAACAACAACCGGGAATATGAATTGCAGTAGAAATAAAAATTAATTTAAGTTTGCATTATTAAAGAGCCACACGTCGTACCCACTGTTCTAATTCTATGTAGTGAAATGTAGAAAATACATTATGGCAACGACAAGAGTTCATAAAAAAAAATAAAAAAACAACCTTTATTTCCCTAATAAGTAAATAATACATTGTACATTTTTTTTTATAAATTGTAATTTATTATTATTACTCAACTATTTTTATATAATTACTACTTTGAATTGATTTGTTTTAGATTTAGATTTTAGACAAACGTGAACCCCTCTATTTGAGGGTAAAGGTTTCCTCCAAAGAGAGTCCATATACTGTTGGATGAATTAGGATCATGGCTAGGCAAGAATAGAAGTTGTACCTTTATACTTACCAGATTTACCAGATACAGAAAACATCAAAGCATACACAACGAAAAATAAATTTTAAAAAACCATCACCCTGTATTTAATTATTTAATCTACAAACTTAACTAGAGGTCACGTAGAGCAGCGTAGAGCGTAGACCTCTACGTTAATGCTACATACTGTGCCTACGAGAGGCTACGTGGCGGCGTAGCGCGTAGCAGCAATTCATGATTTATAGAAATTGAGGAAATTTCAGTAAATCTTTTATTAATGTTTTAAAACACATATTGTTCAGTGTCACTCACTGTTCGATCTATGAGGCGATCTAAATTAATGTTCACTGATGATAGTGAGTACTGTCGGATTGAAGGAGGTGAGGAGTTTGAAGGATATAAGGACAAACGTTCTATAAAGCAAGTCAATTGATATTTCGACCTCATGTTACAAAGCGTTTAATATTATGATCTAGCGATGCAACGGTGTTCGAATCCCGCAGGCGGGTACCAATTTTTCTAATGTAATATATATTATGTACTTAATAAATGTTCACGATTGACTTCCACGGTGAAGGAGTAACATCGTGTAAAAAAATCAAACCCGCAAAATTATAATTTGTGTAATTACTGGTGGTAAGACCTCTTGTGAGTCCGCACTGGTAGGTACCACCACAGTACCTATTTCTGCTGTGAAGCAGTAATGAGTTTCGGTTTGAAGGGCGGGGCAGTCGTAGTAGCTATACGCTACGCTTAAAATATAAGCCTTAGAACTTATATTTTAAGGTGGGTGACGAATTAAGGTTGTAGATGTCTGTGGGCTCCAGTAAACACTTAACAGCAGGTGGGCTGTGAGCTCGTCCACCCATCTAAGCAATAAAAAAAGAGTTCCAGAGCCACTTAACAACAGACGAGCCGCAAGCTCGTAAGTTAAGATCATACTAACCTTTACCAATAAGTGTTTTGCGTTTAAATACAAATTACCTTTAATACAAGTAATTTGCTAGCAAACAGTGCGAGTTCTTCTTATCACTACCAATAAATACGCATCTCTGCAACTTAACGATGCATAGGTACATTACATACATATTATGTAATGCAATTTATCAAAATACTCCGTAGCGAGGGAGGGGTTGATTTAAACAAAAATATCCTAAATATGTGAGTGACGTCATAAAAAAATAAACATTGACAGACACGTTGTTTGTTCATCACAAAGCTTCAACTTAAATTATCGAAGCTCCCGGTATATGTACTGCGTAACGTAAACGTCTTTAATATAAAACAAAGACAAAACGATAAAAAATATTTGACTCCTCTGTTTGTCTTTTTAATACTAATTTAAAAACTCTAGTGTAGGTACTTAATGTAAAAAAAAAGTTGTACAGACAAAGATGGTAAGTGTCGCCGACGGTCAAAGACGTCAGTAATGCTAGAATCACAGACAAGCGCTTATCAACCGTTGATAAATTGGAAATAGTCATTTCATTCTCTAAATACAGAATGGAGCAACTGAACAAAGTGAATATAAATCTTGATGCGTCAATAATTATGATTGAATTTCGTTAATCAATAAAAGTGTTTATAAAAACAAATCTAAGTCGTTCTTGGTCATAAATGCACCTGATAGACTTGAGAGGCTATATCAGCGTAACCTTAACTAGTAGGTGAGTTCACGGGGCTCAAACCTGATGACGTTGCTAACACGAACCCTAGTGAGAGCCGTGCTTCGCAGAATCTACTACCGGATCGGAAACCCACTGAGAAGATCCGGCGAGAATCTCAGTGGGCTGTGTCTGTGGGTAAATTTACTCCTCGAGCCCTTCGTCGCAAGCAACGGGTTCGACGAGAACGATGACCAGTGCTTAAGGTACCTAAAAGCACCAAAAGATCACCGATCTCTTCCTGTGGCTATCGAAATAACAGAGAATGAGCGGCGTTCTTTCAAGTTAAGTATTATACCAGCATACTGCCTTCGCCGAGAGGCATTTACTAGTGCCAATCCAATGAGCTGTGGCCATGTTCACATATCGACGCAGCAAATAAATAAATAAACTACAAAGTGTTTGTAACGTTGAAAAATTATAATCAAAATAATAAAGGCTAGATCAAAACCTTATTTATTACTGGTGGTAGGACCTCTTGTGTGTCCGCGCCTGTAGTTACCACCACGCTGCCTTTTTCTGCCGTGAAGAAGTAATGCGTTTCGGCTTGAAGGGTGGGGCAGTCGTTGCAACTATACTTGAGACCTTAGAGCTTATATCTCAAGGTGGGTGGCGCATTAACGTTGTAGATGTCTATGGGCTCCGGTAACACTTAACACCAGGTGGGCTGTGAGCCCGTCCACCCATCTAAGAAATAAAAAATAAAAAAAACCGTAAACATAGAATAGTTCTAATTATATCGATGACTTTCGAACTGCTTACTGAATCCTTTATTTATTTAATTGGTATTTTTATAGTTTAGTTAGATAGAAGTTCATA